GATAGGGATGATCATTCCGAAGAGCTGCACAAGTGCTGTAATATGACAGTTGCAGTTAATTTGATGGGTTTCTACTCCCTGGAGAGCAAAAAGGGATTGGCTTATACTTTGAAATATGATGGGTTTGATGTGATGTACAACATTAGTGCGGTTTTATGTGATCAGTGTGAGGGATTAGGTGGGATATGCGAAAACAATCCAAGTTCAGTTCCGTATCTACAAACAACGTGCAAGCGTAGTTCAGGTATGGATTATCTATGCAAAACCATTTATTTTTAATTTGGTATTGTGCTTACGGCTTAGGATTATTCTGTTCTGGCAATGCGCATTCAATTCACAATTGAGTCTATACTATAGCTTCCTGGAAACTCACTGCTTGACATTGTTCTGGTCTTCTTTGAACAAGTCAACCTGACTAGCAGCTTTGGTTGACTGGACTTTTAAACTTTAACCCATCGGTGCAAATTTGAAATGACAATTTGCCCCTACGCCCACGACCCTCCTCGCTGGTTTTTTCACCCAATTGGGTGGCGACCGGCCGGAGCAGAGATGACTGAGGGAGTAAGTGCTTCTCCCTCTAAGTGAATGAAAGTTGATACTACAATATTAACCATCGAATCATACAGCACATCATAAGATCGAAAACTGAAAGGAAAAGATCGAGATTAGGACTGGAAATGAGGGAAAACACTTGAGTGCAATAGGATACTACACCAATCCCAATCAATAGAGACCTGATAGATCATATAATTTAGAAGAAAACATACCAAGCTTGTAACTTTTTCCCAGTTTCCTTGAAAATCATAATCCTATTGAATACGTTAATCCATTCACTTAATTGTTCCTACAATGAAGAAGAAATCAGAGATTTTCTTTCTAGAGTTGATGATGGAGTAGGTCGAAGAGGGTAGGTTGAGGAACTTGAGGTTGAAGAGAGCAATTTTTTTTAGAAAGTGCATTAAGCCTCTAATTCAGAACTTGGAAATAAGATGAAGCTCAAAAATGATGCACCTTAATTTATATTTATTTATAGTAGTAATGCTGAATGAAATTGATAAAAAATGTTGTCCCAATACACGGTTGGTACTTATGGTATTAACAACCTTGACCCTTTTTTGGTTCAAGTTAGGTATTTCTTTCTCACTAGGGATGATGCTTCATAGATTGACAATCCCTCCCAAAAGAAAGATTTATCCTTTGTTCCTGGTCTCCTAAAGCCTAGCTAGCAAAAATATCAATATGTTCAATTGCAAACTCTATAGTTTTCCAGCTTATATAAGGTAATACCGTTTTGAAATGTTTCACTAATTAACTTTGTTGGCTTTGTTGCTGTCTTGATAGGTTTCAAGGAAAGTTAAAAACTGACCTCAAGTCCAGTCATTTAAAAAAATCATTCGAGCTCAATATCAGGCTATTAAGATTCAAAATACAAAAAGAGAGTGGATTTGAAATAAAATTAATTTATCTGTTATATATATATATATACATATATCAGCAGAATTTATGTGATGTAAGCAAAAAGAGAAAGAAATTGAAAACATTCTCCATATCCTGGATTGTAGTTAAATGGATCTGTTGAAACAATTTATCTGATGAAAGAAAATTATGTTATTGCAGGAAGGACTTCTGCTCTCAAAACCAAAATTCTGATTCTTATAGGTATTCACACATGATCAGCACTCTTATGATGCATGATTTGGTTGTTTGCCTATTTCGTTTAGCCATAGTATAATCCATGCATTGTTATGTAATTAAACTTTACTAAACCTGAGCAGTAGATGAATTTGGCAATGCTATAATAGTCTTTGTACGTGGATATTGGTAAAGTTATGTTAATTATAATCAAAGTCTAAAAGAATAGTATTGCTACATATAGTTGGAGTTTGGAGAAGAGTATATACACTTCAATTGACATTTGATAATCTTGTGCTTTTGAAATAGCTATTCCTGCAATAGGCATTGGAGCACTACTAGCTTTTATCATTATAGTTGTTTTCAAGAGGATTAATAGAAAGGTAACAAAGAATGACCGAGAAATTGAGGCTTTCATTAGAAATTATGGAACTTTAGCTCCTAAAAGATACTGTTTTTTGGATGTCAAGAGAATGACCAATTCATATAAAGAAAAACTACGCCATGGTGGTTATGGAGATGTGTACAAAGGTAATCTACCAGATGGTCGTCTTGTAGCTGTGAAGGTCCTTAATGTATCCAAGGGGAATGGAGAAGAATTTATTAATGAAGTTGCAAGCATTGGTAGAACTTCCCATGTCAATGTTGTTACACTTCTAGGATTTTGTTTGGAGAGTGAAAACAGAGCTTTGATCTATGAGTTCATGCCAAATGGGTCTCTAGAAAAGTTCATCTTCAAGGAAGGCACTTCGGAGGATAATCAGAATTTGGAATGGGAAAAGCTATATGGTCTTGCAATTGGAATAGCTCGAGGGCTCGAGTACTTGCACCATGGATGTAACACAAGGATTTTGCATTTGGACATAAAACCTCAAAACATTCTTCTTGATGAAGAATTTTGCCCAAAGATCTCTAATTTTGGGCTGTCCAAACTATGCTCTAGAAAGGACAGTGTTGTGTCAACATTGGGACCCAGAGGGACACGTGGGTATATAGCTCCAGAAGTCTTTTTCCGAAACTTTGGGGCTGTTTCACTTAAATCAGACATCTATAGCTATGGAATGATGATTCTTGAAATGGTTGGAGGAAAGAAGAGTGTTCAAACAAGGGTAAGTGCTAGCAGTGAGTATTTTCCAGATTGGATTTACAGGCATCTAGAATTGGTTGATGAACTTGGACTGCAAGGTTTAAAGTCCAAAGTAGAAACTGATATCAAGAGGAAGATGATATTGGTGGGGCTGTGGTGCATACAAATAAAACCTTCTAACAGGCCATCAATAGAGAAGGTGATTGAGATGTTAGAAGGAAGTGTGGAAGCTTTGCCAATTCCACCCAAGCCTATTCTTTCTTCTCCCCCAAGACCGCTACCTGATTCTTCTGCCACATCTGGTTGCAATACTATATCACTACTAGATTAATTTGTATACTTGGTTTATCTTTTATGTCTATCTAAAGGAATTTGTACTGATTGTTAAGACCATAAATCTATGACAGTACAAGGCTCATGAATAGTTCATGTTAGGTTGATATGTTAATTTTCCTTGTGTTTGGTTTAAGTGAGCTATCGGCCCACGGCATTAGGATTCCATGATAATGCAATAAATATTCATGGTGAGGTCTTGACTCCTTGAAAGATGAAAGCATGATTATTGGACGATTTTTCTGTCAAAATCCATTTTTCATCAATGCAAAATAATGCTTATGTGCATGGCAAGGATTTGTCATTAGTTTTTTTTTTTTTTTCCTCTCTCTCTCTGATGCCTTGACTCGTGTCTGGAAACTCTAGACAGATGATTTTTCTTTTTCTTTCAGTGACATGATAACCCCTTCATTAGCCCCAGGAGAGAGTTGCTTTGGTACCGGACTACTCAAAATAAGAGGAATTCATTTCATTTATCATCCGTTGAGTTCATATCCTACTTTTGTTAACAATTGTTATTGCCAAGGGAACTAGAGTATTGTTTACCTGTTTCATGGTATATGTTCAAGAGGAAGAAGTTACCAATTATACCAATGAGCGTTTTCAAGAAGAAAACCAAGAGTGACTAATTAAGATAATCTTTGGGATGGAAAAAAAGATCGTACCAAATTGCAGTTGGAATAGCTTGAGGGCTCCAGTACCAGCACCATGGATGCAACACAATGATTCTACATTTGGACATAGAACCTTGCAGCATTGTTCTTCAGGAAGATTTTGAACTATCAAAACTATGCTAATAAATTTAAAAAAGTTGACGAAAGAAATAATTTTGAAAAAGTTGCGTTACAAGCATAGCAGAACAGAGAGAGATTCTTACCTAGCTTAGGAAACTGCTAATACATTTAAGAAAGTCGATGAATGAAATAAATTATTTTGTTTACACTGTAAATTACCAGAACAGACAAACCAGAACACAAAAATCAGGTACATGTGCTTTATATACCAGGTGACTTGGTATCTCCTAAACCATATGCACATTCCAATTTGGATAATAAGGTCTAGTCTGGGATGAAATAAATATTACAAACACCATCTTTTGTTGAATATATGGTGGATGTTACAAGTTGTACAGACAATTCATTATATGCCTTCAAATTCTAGCAAAATGAGATGCTGAAAAAACTCAAATACTGGCATTAGATGTTGAAGAGTTACTAACCCATTTTATAGTAACAGAATCCGGTGAGAGAGTCTGAGGTCCACTCTCCAACAACACAACCTTATCTGCTGAATTGTCCATCTGATCCCCTACCTTCCTTTTATTGTAGTTTCCACTCTGTATTTCCTTTAAAGCCTCATGCACCTCTTCCATTGTCGGTCTCATGTCCTTCCCACCTTGAAGGCACCGAAATGCCACTTCTGCTACTGAAGTTATCATTGTTCTTATTTTGTAGTCTGATTCAAACCCAAGAGATGGATCTACAAGCTCGTGCAATGCTTGATTTTGAATCTTGTTGATGGCCATGTTAGACAAGTTTATCTCATGGCGGTGCCTGGTGATGTCAACAGCTGGCTTGGACGATATTAGCTCAATCAAGACAACCCCAAAGCTAAAGACATCACTCTTGTTTGTAAGCTGGTAGCATTCATGATATTCTGGATCAACATAACCAGGAGTCCCTTGTGGAGCAGTAGAAACATGGGTAGCATTTAATGGAAAGAGACGAGAAAGTCCAAAATCTGCAACTTTAACACAAAAGTTCTCGTCAAGGAGAATGTTGTCGGTTTTCACATCACGGTGGATAATATCAGAAGCATGGAGGTATGTCAATGCATTTGCAGTCTCTATGGCAATCTTCAAACGAATGGACCATGAAAGTGAACCAGGTTCGGCACCTTCACCATGAAGATGGTCAGCAACCGTGCCATTAGAAATGTATTCGTATACAAGCAAGAGTTCACGGCTGTGGCGAGAGGTGTAGCCATAAAGTGAGACAAGGTTTGGGTGGCGCAACTGTCCTAGGATCTCAATTTCATTCCAAAATTGCTCCTCTCTTTTGTAATTGTTTTCATATAAGCGTTTGACTGCAACATGGCGGCCATCTCGGAGTTTGCCTGGTTTAGGAAGGACAAGGAATTAGATTTTCATCAAAATGTCAACATCTCTAATTAGTAATACTGAAAAAGAAAAAGATTTTTTGTTGAGTTCTCCCCTCACCATGATATACAGTGCCAAAGCCTCCGTCACCGAGCTCCCTCTCAGAATCAAATTTATTGGTGGCCTTTTCAAGTTCATTGTAGCTGAAGCGTTGAACACTAAGGAAGACTCCCATCTCAGAATCAGTCTCTGGTGGTAAAGAGTTGTCTTGTGAAAATGAGCATGAGCAAGCATATTTGAGAGCTTTCTTCCGCTGTTGGTAGAGGAAGAACACAGCGCTGGCTATTAATATACCTCCAACACCACAGCCAATACCTGTAGATAAATTCTGATTGATAAGATATCTGCTTTTAGATACAGCATGAGAAAGAATAGTTGTTGTATTAAATTACCTATTCCAACCTTCACCCTCCAATTTGGTTTCGCTGTGACAGTAAGAACATAAAGCAAAGAATGGTTAGATAATATGGAGAATAATTGCAATTATAGGCTTCATCAAATCTTAGGTTGAATAAGCAAAAGGCAAAGAACATAACACTACACTGAAGCAGAACAAACTTTCTAGAATCATTTAGGATGAACACGTGCCATATGGTTAATTGCTTCCCAACAAGCAAAAGTAAATCGGTACACAAAAATCATGAAGGTATTAACAATAAAACAAGAGAAACAGAAGACAAGAAATCTATCAGACCAAGAAGCAAGCACAATGACGAAAAAAAAAAAAAAAACTAAATTAACAATCATAGGAACTAATTAGGCCCTCATTCTACCAAAAATAAGCCTAATAAACTATGTTAGTAATTTGAGGGAAAAAACGACAGTAGAAATTGGAAAGGTGAATTTCCTATGGAATTACCATCATTGCAGGTTTTGGAATGAGACCTATCCTGGCAAAAACAAATGAAATGATCATTATCAAATCCACAGTGCCCACCACTGCTCTCACAATTGCTGCAACTATGTGCAGTCCAATTCAGAAGGAAACCCATCCTCAGGATTTCAGAATAGTTTGCTTTCAACAGACTTGTGAAATTACTGTAAATATCCATATCCATATACACTGGGGCATTAACAAAAGATTGGCATAACTCTAAGGAGTAGTTACTGCTCTCCAAACCTTCTTCATGGAAAACAGCAAAAGAATAACTGGAAGTATTGCTAGCACATCTTACTGGATATGTATGGTAATCTGGCCGCTCAGTACAGTTATATAAGAAGGAAAAATAGACATTATCAGAACTAAGACTGAATGGAGTTCGATCAAAAGTAGCATTTTGCAGAGGAATTGGACACATTTCTTCATAGACTACAGCATTGACCACAACAAAGGTATTGTTGGAGTACGATATATCTTTGATGATATAATTATCATCAGATATGGTAAGAACTGGGCTGTTGTTTTTGCAGGTGATCTCAAAGTTTGGGTAGCCACAGAAGGAATCTTGTTCCTGAAAAATCCAAAAAGGATAGCTAATATAGGGGCCATTTCCGCATGATCTAGGCATACAAGCCTCAAATTTAGAGTCGAGGGACAGAGTTTCATAAGCTAAGGAACTCAAAGAGATGATAACTATACACTTCTGAAGAAAATTTCTCAAGATAGAAAAGCTTTTTGGATCCATGCTAGTAGAAAGAAATGGAGAGAGCACAGTAGAGAGCAGAGAAAAGAAGACAAAATGGAAGGAGGCATTGGGAGGAAAATTCTAGAGTTGGTATGATTTGGTTTTGGTGCCTTCAAATTCCCCATAGTTTTGCTTTGCTTTGTTTTCTAATGGTGGTTGTAGTTTGAAAACAAGAAGAAAGGCAAAAGAAAAGTTTGAAGCGAAAGCAAAGACATGTTGACCACATCATTTTTTTTATTCTATTTGAGCATATCATATTCAAAAGAATGATGTATTTTTGTTCCTATGCATCCATTATAGAGGCTGTATGGGCCAACAAACAAGAATACAAGTTATGGGGTGGTGCCTAATAACAACAATTTGAAATGCTTCTGGTGAAAAGTGAGAACATGATAAAAATATTTTTCTCCCAGACAAATCATGACAGAAAAACGAAAAAACTGAGTTGTTTAAACTCCAAAAGTAATGTTGTGGATCCTTATATCAGACTCTAAAACCAACCATCCTGATCTAAATCAAAGATTTGCTCTAATGAGCATTGTAGGCAGCACATGAGTGAGTGTAATAAGCCTGAACAGAAACCAGAATGACTACAAACAACCAAACAAGAAGAAGTCAATAGCTTTGCAAGTACATGTTTACCTAATTTGACGGGATGTTTCTATGGGAAGAAAACTCAATTACTTAAAATCAGAGGGGATAAACTTGGGTGCTCAATTTCATCATTAAGGAAAACCTTGGACTCCAAAATCAATCCTGTGTCATAATGGTGACATCAGAATGATATAATAATAAAAGAAACAGACTTCCATTTTAGAATTTGTCAATTGGAAAATCCCAAATAAGAAAATCACCATACCTAACCATAAGGGCATAAGGGAAATAAAGCAGAACATTAGGTGAAAACATTTTATATGATAATATTATTGGACGAACTTGAAAGAGACTTGGTTGAACAGAAAGTGTGG